CCTCTTAGAGTGTGTTTGATGTATATTAGAATGGAAAGAATGCATTTTTTGTGATATGATGGTGAATATGTGGTTAAAAAAGAAGGAAAAGTTATTGATGTGATGAAAAATATTATTTTATTGAAAAATGCATGGTTGAAAATGAGTAGAAAAATGAGAATGAAAAAAATAATGTGTACCAAACAGGGCCTCATTTATAATTTCCTTTTTACTTTTATTTCTTATTTTTCTTTATTAAAGTAAGCCTACATGTATCTACCATTTTCTAGAAACTCTTTTTTTTTTTAAAACTCATTTTCATTACACATTCTTGTAATAAATGGTGTGTTTGAGTCATATTATTTTGAAAAAAATGTATTTTGAAATAGTAAATTGATGGAGAATGTGTGGTTGAAAAAAAATGAAAAGTTATTGATGTGATGTAAAATATTATTTTATTTAGGAATGTGTGGTTGAAAATAAGTAGAAAAATGAGAATGAAAATTTTAATGTGGCTCAAACAGGGGAAAAATATTTTGCACATATATTCAAAAAATTCATACTTTGTAACCAAGTATTCTTAAAAAAAATCACTATTCCAAAACTCATTTTTCCTAAAAAAAATTCTTTTTAATTGGCATCAAATAGAGGCTAAATAACATTATAGGAAAGAAATCAAATGCAACGTGCTTAAAATATTTTTCACTGGATGGGCATGACACTACCTTGGTTGATAATTAGCATAAAAGTGATTTGAACTATAATAGTAACCATGATCGCGTTCGCGTACTCAACTTCGACACTCAAATAGTCACAACGGTATGCTTAGCTTACTTGGAATAAATTATAACAAGATTATAATGAAGAGGAATAGAAATTCTATAAAATGTATAGATAAAAAAATGATTAATAGTCGTGGATTTATAATAAGAATTTAGCTCCTGTTTGAGTCACATTAAAATTTTCATTCTTATTCTTATACTAATTTTCAACCACACATTTTTCAATAAAATAATATTTTTCATCGTATCAATAACTTTTTCTTCTTTTTCAACCACACATTCTTCATCAAATTAATATTTCAAAATACATTCTTCCAAAATAATGTGGCTCAGTCATGCTTTCCATGAAAACATCGCTTCAATAGTTGATTCAGTATCGAGGGTCAAGACCTTGTGCTTCTTTGTGTGAATACCACGCTCTTAGAAGAGCGTGGATCGTTATCAATTGCCAGCCCAGCAATTTTCAGGCCCGAATTTTAACCAGCCCGAACATCGGATGCTTTTTTGCTGAAACCAATAAACGCTACCGTCTACTTCTATTTTATTACATACGACGTCGTCACCTCCCATTTAATACGTCGTCGTTCCAATCCTCAGACGTTGACTGTAACAATCTATACATATTACATACACAAAAACCAAACGTATACTTCTCCCTCACCAAGTTCCCTCCCACTGTCTGAACAGAGATCACAGTCCCCCTACCCTACCCTACCCCTCCCTCACCTCAAACCCAAGAACACTCTTGACAGTTCACACACGGATAAGTAAAACCTGGGTGTAATGGCGGATTCTAAGCTGCAAAAACAATGAAGATAACCAGAGAAAAAAGCAAATTCCAAGAAACCCATTTTCCGAAAGTACCTTCAAACTCTTCACTAAAATCAGATCTTTCTTTCAAGCCCACTATACCACGCAAACCGCCTCATCGGAAAACTAAGACTACAGGGATCGGAGTTCGGTTGAAGAGGGAAACCGGGGCTCCATCTGGGAAACGGAGCAGCCGACCCGAGACCCCTTTACTCAGATGGAAGTTTGATGATAAAAATGACAACAATGCTTCTATTAAGAAGGAGAAATCGTCAGTTGAAGTTGGCCGGAAGAGTAGCCGAAGAATTAGAAATATGGTTTCAGCGAGGAAGCTCGGCGGCGCACTCTGGCGGATACCCTCATCGGAGTTTCTGAATAAGGGTGGCCAAAGTTTAGGATTTCAGGTACAATTCCTTCATAAAGACCGTACCTTTATTATATTTTATATGATTCTTGTTCTTTACTTAGATCTAATTAAGATTTCTGCCGGGTGTAATAATGCTTTATGGTTAATGATATGCGTTTCAATGTCATAGTTCTTCAATTCTGATTTCACTTGAATTTGCGGTCCATTGGAGAAACCACTAGGATTGCTATTTTTGCATTTATCTTTGGTAGTTTAGTACGAATTTCGTATTTTTCTCGTCTAGTTTGATAGCATTTTTGGGACCATGACCTTTCTTCGTCCTCGAATGACTTTGAGGGAATTATGATTTATTATGGTCTTCATTTTACAGTTTGGAAATGCTCATGTTGGAGACTCGATTCACGGTGATCATGTTACCGAAGTGCATAGTTCTTATGCGAAGGACCTGGTACATAGTCCACATTCTGTCTCTGGTCGAAAGAACGGGCTTCTACACAAGGTATTTTTTTGTTTTATATGTTCATCTTCTCCAATTTTGTAGTTGAAGATTTGTGGTTTCTTGACATTGAGTTGATTACAAGAACTTGGATTCATTTGATTGACAAATATAGGGTTTTCTTTATTTTTGTTCTAGACTTCTAATTTTTAGCTTTCTATCTGATCTTGGAAATACTTTTATTCCTTCCAGTTTGAGCCCTCGTTTCAAGTTTTTAACTCGATGGAGGGGGCAACAAAGTGGGATCCTGTTGGCTGGAAAACATCAGATGCATTAAAGCAAGCATTTGGCAGATCCGTACTCAACCAACGAACAAATGCTGCTCCAGTGATATCTGCCCTTGAGGTAGAACTTGAGCAGGCTCGATCCAGAATTAATGAACTTGAGACTGAGCGTCGCTCTTCGAAAAAGAAACTAGAGCAATTCTTGCAGAAACTCAGCGAGGAAAGGACCGCGTGGAGGAGCAGAGAGCATGAGAAAATCCGTTCAGTTATCAATGACATTAAAGCTGACTTGATCAGAGAAAAGAAAAATCGTCAGAGACTGGAGATGGTCAATTCTAAGCTCGTTAATGAGTTGAATGATGTCAAACTATCTGCAAAGCGCTATATGCAGGATTATGAAAAGGAAAGGAAGTCCAGAGAGTTGATCGAGGAAGTCTGTGATGAACTAGCTAGAGAACTTGGAGAAGATAAGGCTGACACAGAAGCATTAAAGAGAGAATCAATGAAACTCCAGGAGGAAGTCGAAGAAGATAGGAAGATGTTGCAGATGGCTGAGGTTTGGCGCGAGGAACGGGTCCAAATGAAGCTTGTTGATGCGAAGGCAATGCTTGAAGAAAAGTATTCTCAGATGAGCAGGCTAATGGTTGATCTCGAGGATTTTCTGAATTCTAGAAGTGCATCTTCACATGTGGACGAGATGAAGAAGGCCGAGTTTCTTCTACAGGCAGCTGCATCTGTCGATATACAGGACATCAGGGAGTTAAAATATGAACCCCCGAATCCTGACGATATTTTCTCGGCTTTCGAAGACGTTAATTTTGGTGCACTCATCGAGAAGGAGGCTGATCCACGTGTTTCATACAGTCATGGCAGTCATGCGTCTGAAATTCACACCATGAGCCCTGAAGTGAATGTGTTCAATAAAGACGATGCTTGGAGACATTCTAATGCATATTTTGACCAGAGTGGCGAGATAGAAGATGACACGAGCGAGTGGGAAACCGTGAGCCATCTTGATGATCAAGGATCAAGTTATTCACCTGACAGAAGTGATCCTCGTGTTGACAAAAATGACCAGACGCCAGTCACAGATGTTAGTGAAGTCTGCTCTGTGCCAACACGGCATAGGAAGAAGGTGTCGTCCATATCTAGGCTTTGGAGATCATACCCGAGCAATGGTGATAATCACAAGATCATTTCAATTGAGGGAATAAATGGGCTTTCGGATCACGGTTCAGCCAAAGGACTTAGTCCTCAAGATTCAGTTGGACAATTGAGCTCACCTGACTTGGGGAATCCAAACATTACTCAGGGAATGAAAGGGTGCATTGAATGGCCGCGGTATGCACAAAAGAATAGTTTGAAAGCCAAACTTTTAGCAGCAAGGATGGAAAGTCAGAAGATCCAGTTGCGCCATGTTCTAAAGCAAAAATATTAGAGAGAGCAAGTTCTGGATGTTC